AAAATGTTCTATTTTATTTCTACCAACACATCTCAAAAATCATCTCAATAAGCCCTTACCATGTTCAGAGATATTCACACCTTCTTTCTTCAGGATTAGGAGGAAGGGCCTCACAAAGAGAGGTCTGGAAAGCAAATAGGTTACAGTATTTATTCTGCCCATAAAGCACGCATTCAGAAGTAAAAGACAGGCTGGGAATACTTTACTCAATAACCAATTAACTGTCCTATGTCACCGCTACCCCATGCCAAGAGATAAATCGCCCTACCGCACAGGAACAATAACATTAAAGTGAATTTTAACTGGAGGCAGAGAATAAAATACAAAGTTAACCACATTCATTACTTTAGGATGGCTTTCAACACTCTAGTCATGGCGGTGAGGGGGGAGTGGAAGTATTAGCAGTGTAATCACAGCTATAAGATTATTCGGTTACTGTATAATATTTGATAAACATACATTATTTTAACAACATTACAGCATGAATCCCTTTAATGACAAAAGCTAAACCCAAAAACTACTTGAATACTCTGGCATTTTATGAGCACGGATCATTGCAGCTTATGAGTTTATCTTCAGTTACTTTAAAAAAAACAATCATGGAAGTCTTCCTGCACTTTTTATCGATAGCACAAACCAGAGTGCTCTCTCATGTCTAGAAACCACAACACCTACAGACATTTACAGAACAGGAAAGGAAAAAGAAAAAAGGATGGTATCTGTGTCAGACTGACTTTGCAGCAAGCCATAACGGCTAGTCAGCCCATTCCTCAAAATACTGCCTGCACCAGGAAATTCCTCCGATTAAATATGTTTTCATTACTGCTATCCCTGCTATACCAGAACTGGTGTCTATAACACAGTTGTCTTTTCTGAGTATTTTGACCAACTTCTACAGACCACTTCTAATGCAAAAGCAAGTTATAGCTACTGCATATGCACTTAGAGCTATTAGATTTATGCAAACAAAAGAAACTTATTACTAACTACTGCTTCTCCATTCTGAAGGAAGGATACTAAAATTTCCAGTCTTTTTACCACTGATAATATGTGTAAAAAGGAAAATACACATTTATAATTTGTAAGTCATTTTTCCTCACAACTAAACCCATAATTTATATTCTATTAACTGCTTGAAACATTCTTTTAGTCAAGGCAAAAACCTCTGTACTGCTTTTTTCAGAAAACCTTCACTGCTACATGCTAAACCTTCCCATCAACCCAAACAAAAAGATGACACATGCAAGACAGGCTAAAAACACTCTTTAATATTGGAGATCACATTAATAGAAGAATAAGTCCAGAATTAACCACAGAGGAAGCAGTGGGAGTTTTGAACTATAAGCTGATTTAACTCATATAGCAGCACGATTAGTTCTACACGTAGAGAAAATAATGCTTTGACATGAATTTCATTCACTCACCAATATTTTGCTTGCCCATGCACCACCTACTTTCCTCACCTGCAGTAAATCAGACTGACAACTGCACAGCAATAAAACATTTTTCTCTTTAAGTCACTAAATAAACATTAATAAAAGCTCAAACCTCTTCAAGACAAGGATTCCTTGTCTACTTTGCATATGGAGAAAATATATGCACAGAGATTAATGGTTATCTCTTTCAGAAATATTGACGCCCCAGGTTTTGACAGAAAGTGCAGATGCTTATAACATCTAAATAAATAAGGCTGCATAATCCCAAATCAACTACATATTCAAACTGAGTGTTTTAAAGTTCATTTACATATATGCCTACATTCAGAAATATGCTCAAGTCTTTTGCTGAATCCACATTATCTTGCTCAAGGCAGCAGAGGAAGTCACCAGGAGCCAAGAGCTTACTGCCATGGTTAGACTGCCAATGAAACTGCAACCACAGAAAAGGTGCGGAAAAAAAGTTAAATCTACTTTTCATTTATACAGGAAGTATATAACAAATATTCAGCACCTCTCCTCTCTGGTGAGCACAAGTCGAGAGAGCATACCTGAACAGAACAGTGCAATGCTTTTGAAAAGCAGAACCAGGATATTGCCTCTGTCAGCTTTGATACTGGCATGTCAGGCAGGTGGGGAGGTTTGTTTCATTTTTTGTAAACTGGGCATTGCATGTGGTTGCAACCCTAACTATGCACTGAGTTACAACAGTGTCATAACACCTAAGAATTAAGTACGTCACCACAAACACTTTCACAGGAACGCAGCTGCATCAATCAGGCGTAAAAAAAAAAATAAAAAAATTAGTCTTTAATATAAAGCACTACAAACCAGTCTGAAATTTTTCAGTTACAAGAAAGTCTCACCTACAAATCTGTGGCTATGACAGGGAGGGACATCCTCAAAAGGCAACAATACCTCCTGAAAGCCTTTTGCCTTCAAAATCTTATTTCCTTTTACCTTAGTAGTTTAAAATTTAGGTAAAAACTTTAAATGTCAGCTCTTGTTCCAAAGCTTGTGTGATTCCCAACTTCCAAATAAGAAACAAAGGGAGTGACCTGGGCTTTCCTGGCTTTTGTTGATGCTGCTACGCTTGGCATCCATACACTCCAAATACACGTTTATTTTTAAAAAAAACACACTTGATTTTTGTTCTGGGGTTTTGTTTTTAACACTGCAAAGATACCCGCATTTTAGCAAAAGCCGTTTTTACCGAAATACGGTGATTTTCCGCAAAAAGGAGCGGGGACACCTGTCACGCTGCTCGCCAGGCTCCACTGCCCAGAGGGTGGCACAAAGGGCCGGGAGGAAGCGGGGGAGGGCGGGAGGCCCCTTCACCTCCGGCCGTGGCTCCGTGGCGGGGCGCAGGCTCCCTC